AACATTACACCGGTGTTACCGTGAACGGTATGATATAGCCCAGCCCTACTGTGTTATTGTCTTTATTGTGGAACGGCTGCATTCAGCTGCTGCTGTGGTTTGAGCTGGAAAAACACTGAACTCAGTTATTTTACTTTGTTACACGTCTGATTCATCACAGTTATAGTGACATGAAGGTCTGTGTGTGTGAGTCTGTGTGTGTGTTGGCGCTCCATCCAGCAGCTGCAGTGTCCTTGGACCATCTGACTGTAATCTGACACTTCGGAGCAGACTCTCCGACCTTCAGCAGCCAGAAAACCTCTGCAGTGTCTCACACACACGTGCACATACACACGCATGCATGCACACGCACGCACACACGCACAATCCACTTCATCAGCTGCTTCCTAGTGTTCATGGGAGCAGCTGATGGAGTGGATGGTGTGTGTGTGTTTTTGTTGACAGTGAATGTTGGTGTGTGTCACTGAATTTGGCTGATTACTCTGACGGCAAAGAAAACCACAAATCAGCTTCTCTTAAACTCACACCTTTTTCTGAAACAAAGAGATAATCAGAGTAACTTCCAGGATCCTCCATCAGTGGGTTAGGCCACATCCACCTTTTCTCTTTTTCTCCTGAACAGCTTTGATGCGTTGCTCATACCGAGGCTCTGAGCTAGCTTTACATTTGGCCTCTTTTCCTGTGTTCACCTGAATGAGGGTGTTTTTAATTGCTTCCTGTCAGTGTGGACAAGCAGCACCTGAAAACTCCTCACCTGTCTTCAGCGCACACAGCCTTCAGAGGAAGCTGTTGTACCTCTGATATCTGCATTTTGGTCGCTACTCATGCCTGGTGGTGACAGGTGGGGGTAGGGACAAACACTGTTGGGCTGGGCCATATCATACCATTCACGGTAATACCGGTGTAATGTTAGGCAATGATAAGAAAATGAAATATCGCGATATTTCATTTTCATGGGTAAAACGCGCATGCACAGTGCCTTTGTTTTCATACGCACATGGCGGATAAAGCATGGCGGAGAATGAGAAGAGCGAAAGTGGATCGTTGAATGAAACAGATGAACCATAATTTGTTTGTAAAAATGCTGCAACCTCCGTGGTTTGGAACAGGTTTAGCTTTCGTCCGTCACACACATACACAGCAAAGCACTATTTTTGGTAGAGCATGCTAGCGGGCCGTCGTTATTACCGAACTGATTTTATGTACACGGCGCTCAAAAATGTTTTAGTACGACTTTGCTAAGCTACGTAGCCGCATCGCTCGGCTTGTCGGAGCATTACGGCTATCGTAGGCAGGAGCCTCGCG